ATAGAGAGAGACCGCTTTTCGGGGCTTGAGTCGGCTTTATATATATCAACACATATTAACAAGTGTAAAGACTGATCGCCTACACGCAAGCCTATACTACCTTTGGTGGGTAAAGATCGTGTGGAGACTAAGAAACAGTCATGGTTTCTTAACCGTTGGATGGATAAGTTGGTATGGAAATTAAGTGTGTCTGCTACAGATGATTATAATCTCTACACATCAACTTAATTACTGCTTGGGTTTGGGATTTATAGATATTAGCATGCGAAATTTACTCCAGAAAGTTAATTGTAGGCAAAAAAAAAAATCTTATAATTGCCTTAAAATATTTTATCATTAAAATTATTTTTGTAAAAGAAAATAATCAAAATAGCATTCATTAAATATACTCATATTCTGTTAAAATAAGTCACTAAAAATTATATTCTACAAAAGTCACAATAGGACAACTTTATTAATTACTTGATACGATTTATTTAATTACTAGGTAATAATCCGTGTTTTCTGTGAAATGAAATTATTAATTTTATTTTTTTAAGATAAGAAGATATTATATTAATTTAATCAAGATATCAATTCAGTTTTAGTTTTTTTTTGGTTTCTAATTTATTAAAATATAATTATTATTCTTAATCAATATTTATTCTGTTTATTTGGTTAAAATATTTGAGGTTTTGAAGTTTTTCAATGATAATCAAATTTTTTTTTTTTCGGTTTCGTGTTATATAAATTTTAGACATTCCTTATGTAAAACTAATGGTTTCATATTATAATTTATGAAGACATGAAAAATAAATCAAATCTAAATAATAATTAAAGAAAAAAAGAAAAAAAATTATTAGGATAAATATTCCATTACAATTTGGTCAATGGTGAATGAAAACATTAAAATAATATTTTAGCTTCCAGGAGAATGAATATTTAGTTATATAGGTGTTCACATCAATGTGGATATGTATGTAGAGCTGGACAAAATATCCGTAAATTTTGATTTGATTTGTCATCCTTTAAGATTCGAACAAAAAATCTGGATATCCGTGACATTACGAAGAAAAGCAAATACTAATATGCAATATCTGTAAAACCAAAGCAAATCACAAATATTCATATTTTTAAAAATGGTGTGGGTGTCGATTTCCACCTACTGTCAATAAATCGTAAAAAAAGAAACTTTGGGAAAACCCTAAGTTTCCAGAGGAACCGGCTATCTGCAGAACCGCACAACGAATATTAAGAAAACGATGAACTTTTAAATTAAAACGAAAATAACGAGATTGAAAGCAAGAAGGTTCTTATTCCGAATCTGCGTAGAACTGGTACAAAAGAGAGGCCTTAAGCTGCGTAAGCCGTCGGCAAAATCCTTAGAAATCTAAGAACGAAAACCCTAATTGAGACGCAGCTCGCTAACAGAAAAACGAAAATATTCCTAATTGCTAGATTTGGTGGTGAGAGCTCTGAATTTCGTGTGTGTTGCTTCTGCCCTAGACCTCCTATTTATATACTCCTCGCCTTGGTCATTCGGTCTTTCCATTTCGCCCAGATTCGACTATATCGGGAACTTTCCATTTTTCTCGATCCTTCCTTTTCTTCCGCGGAAATCTTCTATTTTTCTTCAAACCTTCCTTTTATCTTTAAACTTGACTTTTATTTTCCTTCTGCGAGTAAACCGTCAAAACGTTATCAAATCTGCGGGTTAGATTCCGTTGAAATCACGAGATGGGTTTTTATCGCGTTTTAGGTCCTTCCGGGCCGTTTTGCGATAAATCCGTTTTCCGACTTTTTACGGGATCGTTTCCTGATCTGACGTCGTTTTTAATAAATTACTCGAGTTAGTCGCAAGGTTTTACGATTTACTCGACTTTTTATTAAAAACACGTTTTTTACGACTTACTCGGCGTTTTTATTAAAAACACGTTTTTATGATTTCAATGAGAAATCTCGAATAAATCGTATAGTTTAGGCAATGTTCGGTGTTTCGTTTAACCGTTGCCGTTTTATACGATTTCCTCGAGTTCTTTCCGAGAAAGCGAAGTTTTACGGTTTTTATCGTAAAACTCGAACGGTAAGTCGGATCGAGATGGAACGGGAGATATTTCGGCCGTAGTTTAGAACGTGACCGTGTCAAAAGACGTAAGTTTCGAATCGGGAATGCGGGAAATCAAGACGCGGAGTATCCGGGAAGTCTCTAGTTCGCCCATCGGCGAACTAAGCCGGGCCGGCTTAGTTTGCCGATGGGCGAACTAGTTGATCACTTCCTAGTTCGCCCATCGGCGAACTAAGCCGGCTTAGTTCGCCGATGGGCGAACTAGTTGCGACTAGTTCGCGTTTTACGGCTATTTCGGTTTTTTGCGGTTTCGTAAAACGATTCTCGAGTTTTATAAAACGATCTTCGGATTTTATAAAACGATCTTCGAGTTTTATAAAACGATATTCGAGTTTTATAAAACGATTCTCGAGTTTTATAAAACGATTTCTCGAGTTTTATAAAACGATCTTCGAGTTTTATAGAACGATTCTCGAGTTTTATAAAACGATTTCTCGAGTTTTATAAAACGATCTTCGAGTTTTATAAAACGATCTTCGAGTTTTATAAAACGATCTTCGAGTTTTATAAAACGATCTTCGAGTTTTATAAAACGATTCTCGAGTTTTATAAAACGATTTCTCGAGTTTTATAAAACGATCTTCGAGTTTTATAAAGCGATCTTTAAGTTATATAAAACGACTTCTCGAGTCTTATAAAACGATTCTCGAGTTTTATAAAACTTTTCCTTTTGTATGTTTGCGGGGAGTTTTGGTTATTAATTCCGTCGTACCGATTTTGACCCCAACAAATGGATATTCTATTTGATCCATTATATGATGGGCAAATCTCAAAAATAGCACATTTTTAAGTTTATGTCAAAAAATAGCCCTCAAAAACTAAAATGACCAAAATGGCATTTTATCTTTTTAAATTTTTAAATTTTTTTTATTTTTCAAAAATTGAAATCTTATCCCCAAAACTCCACTTCCCAACTCTAAACCCTAAAACCTAAATTCTAAACCCTAAACTCTAAACCCTAAACCCTAAATCTCATCCCTTAACTCTAAAACCTAATGTCTAAATTAATTTATCATTGGGATATATGTGTATATTTATCTCTTTTGATAAAACATTAAGTGTTATTTTGGTCATTTTTATTCTTAAGTGCTATATTTGTGACAAAAACTTTTTAGTGTTATTCTAGTCATTTTCTCTTATATGATTATATATACATATAATTAATGAAGTATATATAAGTTATTTAAATAATATACTATATATAAGTTTTACAATATTTTTTACTTACTAAATTTATTAAATTAGGTATTAGTATTCAAAAAGTAAATAAGTTTTTATTTTTGTAACAAAATTTTATTATTAGTATTTTATTTTCTTTTAATTTCTTTATTTATTTTTACGTATCGAAACCGGTTAAATCTAATTTTTCGAGACATTGTATATTTGGACTACGAATCGAATCGTATCAGATAATTGTTATTCAGACGAAATATGTTGAATCAACAATACCTTCAAAACCTCAGATCTCTGATTAGTGCCCATTCTTACATGTATGTGTATGTAAAAAATATGAAAAGATGATTGATAAATATATAGAGATACCGTAATTAACATGAAAATAATTTTTTGTTCAAAATAATACATGAAATATAATATTCTATTAAAATAAATTAAGTAAAAATAAAATAAGTCTAGATAATAGTGATATTTTTGTAAATTATCTTTCTATGTTGAAATCATGTATAATCCGTAGAACTGTGTATGTAAGTTTTATATGAATAAAATGCTCTAATGCTCCTGCCCGAAAAATTTTATTCCCAAATGCTCCTGCCCAAAATTTATCCCCAAATAAATCGAATAAATATTACTTAAATAGGAAAATTTAGTAAAATACCAGAACACCGAAAGAAACTCGAATAATTACAAGGAAATCATGGGTATTTCACGGACCATCCAGATCTAAATCCTAAAATTTGGATTTCCAGTGTCCGTAACTTCAGAAACATTACTGAAACTTTGTGTAAGTGTAACTGTAATCTAAGTTGAACTAATTCATACTTGTAGTAACTATACAACTTAATAAACCTTCTACTAATTTTCATTGTATCATGTACATTTGCAATATGTTATTGATATATTTAGTGATTACATATCGATTCAACTTTGATTACAGTTAATCCAAGACATAAAAAAATAATTATGCATTTGCATTATGTTACTGATAAATAAAAACTACAGTTTAAGTTAAACAACTTATAAACACACGAAATATATTTTACATAAAGTACTTATAAACAACATATAAACACACGAAAATACGCTATCCCTAATCTTCAATTGGCCACTGAGCAACGGTCAAATGAATATCATAGCAGAAGTCCCAAACTGCACACTGCCAGAAACGACGATTGCATGGTATAATTTCAGCGCACCATCAATTATAACCGATGTTGGAATCTATCTTTTCCAATAGAGACATAAAGATCTGTGGTTTTTCGTAACCCCAATGACCTGAGAATACCTCAGTAGCGAGCATGTGATTCATCTGATCAGCAAACTCACATGTAAAAGTAGGAAAGTTGTGAACCAGTCCTTTATCATCAAAACTAAATGCTAAGTTGAGCATATCATAAACATACTTGGCCAACAAACCAGTCCTCTATCCCCTCTCACCAGTAAGACAAAATTTTCCCTTCCTTGATCAAGTAAATGGAGGACAAAGAACTCATACATACCTCGCATGTAGATGGCCTGTGGATTACCGAATTGGTAGCACTTAAGCATGTATGTTCTGACAACATTAACCTCATCAATCTAGTCATTGAAGTGAATAATATCTGCAGATTTGTAGAAGTATTCATCTCTACCGAAGTCCCGAATATGGTTTGTTGCTACCTTAGAGAGAATCTTGTGAAGCATAGAAGGAGGGAGAGAAACCAAGTTAAAGTTCGACGACATGGTGAGAGATATTTGTTTTATGACGTAAATGGAAAGATTAGGGTAAGATTAACTTTTCTCTTTATTTGGACAAAATGGTAAACCCTTTTATAATAGCGATGATCCTCAACAATGGAGAAGAGATAAGTTTGTATTTATCACGGCAGCTAAGGGTGATTTGATGGAGGTCTCGAGAAGGCACGATTTCTGATTGCAACAGTCGCATGCGTTGGATTTAAAACTTTGTAAAACTTTAAATGATAAAAATAAATAACTTTTTAAAACTAAGTGAAATTGCTTAGTTAGATTGTCAAAATATATGAAACTAAGAGAACGTTTAACAATTTAAATAAGTGTAACAATTTTGATAGTCTAAATATATGAAACTATGTAAACTGTTAAGAAATAAATATATGAAACTAAGAAAACGTTTAACAATATAGATAAGTGTAACAATTTTGATAGTCTACATATATGAAACTATGTAAACCTTTAAGACATAAATATATTATTCATTAAGAAAATAGGGGATGATAAATGAAGAGTAATTTAATTTGTGTAATAATGATTTATTATCCCAACTTCCAAAGTTGTAACTCTTCCGTTTAAGAGTGATTTGATAGGCAAACGCTGGTTTCCTTTCCAAAATTTTCAGATTTATTACCCCAACTAAAAGTTAAACGATTTGAAAAACACGACTTTTCACACTAACAGTCGCCTATTATCATCATTACACTTCATTTAAATCCCACAACTACCAGATCATCATTACATTTGCATTCAATTTAGGAAACCCTCGATTTAATCTCCACTCCACCGCAGTAAGTTAAGTTAAATCGTTTCCTTTATATCTAAAAACATTTCACCGCAAAAAAGAATTCATCATCTTTCAAATATGGAACACTATAATACTCTTGCTGAAGTTGTCTATAACGAGAAGGTCAAGCATTGACGTTTCAGAGTGAAAATCATAAGGATCTATCATTTTTATTCCTATGTTACCGGCAAAGGACCACACCATGTTTATGTCTTAGCAGATGAACATGTAAGTACGAAATCATCATCTCTCAAGCTTCTAATAACAACAATGGAAAATATAAACTCGCTCGTTGAACTTAATTTATGCAGGGAACCAAGATGGAGATGACCATCTATGATATATATAGAGATAGGTTTAGAGGCCTAGAGAAGCAAGAGGGAAAAAGGGTGGAAATCTTTATTGTAGAAGTTGGTCGTGCCCGTTCAGGTTTCAAGGTAGCAAAATCCAAATTCATACTAACTGCTACTGGCGATACCCAAATCCACATCATCGATCCTCTGAACGATCAAATTTACTTTGAGTTCAAAGGCATTCATGAAATCCCTCACATGAGCTACAAGGAGAGAAATTTTCCCATAGGTACAAATTTTAACTAATAAATATATTTCATATGTAGGTAACGGAATCGAATATACTTATCTGGTAGATACAATGGGAGAGTATTTAAGACGGACGCCCATTTTGATGATCCTGAAGGACCAAAGATGGTGTTGTACATAAAGGACAACATGTAAGTATTAAGTAACATATGATCAAAAAAAAATGTTTGCATTAGTGTAATTGACTCACCTTGTTTTATTCATCATAGTGAACGTCAGATAAAATGTGTAGCAACTGGGAAACATGCTTATGCCTTCCGGGAATGGTTTGAAAATAGGGGAGGTCGCCGATAGGTGATTGTGGTCCTTAAGATGTGGAGGGTCTGCGACTATTTCTATAAGTGAAGTTTATGGTTATGTGTTAGAGTTTAAATGTGTTAGTCGACTCAAATCTTATCTAAACTCATTCTGGTCCTATAGAAGAATGGCTTTAGACCGAGGGGGAACTTATCTGACTTCAGGTTCAATCCACGCTTTACGGAGGTAGAGGAGTTCAGACAATCGGTCAATAACAATGACCCTTATGTTCGGAAGTACGGAGCTATATGGCCTTTGTAAGGTTTTATCTAATGTATTAGTGATTCTTAAACTTGGTTTGTGATGTTGAACTGCATCAATCTGTATTAAAAAATGGTTTTATTAACTTTTGTAATTGTCCAACTGTGTGAACCTAAGAATAACTTCAAGTTAACATGAAGTCCGTGTTCGTATAAATAGGTCAAATTTTTGTTAGGTTCAATTTCTCAATTGTCTAACATCGTAAACATTTGAGAAACTTTTAAGTTTACCAAACTTCTTAGTAGTTCAACTTAACTTGAAAGTTGGTGTTCGTATCACCAGGTCAATTTTGTGTAGTAGTTTAAGTTCGCATAATTTTGGAGAAACTTAGGAAAAACTTAGACAAACATAATGTTTAACTTCGCATAAATTACAAAAAACTTAGACAAAACAGAATGTTTGACAAAGTCACTAGCTTTAAGAATCACTTCTACATCATAATTCGACCGAGAACTACAACGATAATGATGATACTAATAACACAACATTCTGATATCATTATCTTAGGCATTATTTGGGACCTTCAATTCTTATTGTTGCTTTGAGCAATTGAACTTCTTCTTCTAGCATTCGAACTTGGTACTCCAACTGTTCAATCTCATCGGTGAAAGCTTCGTCGACCCATTTGAAGACGTGATCATCGTTCTCGAGCTACAACATTCCAACATTTTGTTTAAAATATTTAAGAGAACAACCCTTCGATAACCACTACAAGAAAACTCGGTCTTTACTAGGAAATTTTACTAGGAAAACAATTCCCCGTAAATTTACTACGACCTTACTTCAGATTTACGAGGAAAACAAGTTTCCTCGTAAAGTCCTCGTAAAGGTACGAGAAAATTGTTTCCTCGTAAGACCGTAGTAAAATTACGAGGAAACTACGTGGCAAAAGACCATTTCCTCGTAATCTCGTAGGAAATACTTTCCTCGTAAAGTCCTAGTAAAATGGTACTACGAAATTAGGAGAAAATGATCTTTTACTTGAAATTATCTAGGAAATTGATAGAAGATATCTAATTTAAATATCAAATGTGTTTTGTACCTACTTTTCCTAGAAATTTCCTAGTAAATTCTCAGATTCAAAAATTTCTATAAGTACCATTGTTTGTGATTCATTTCAAACACACAAAAAAATCAGCTTTAAGCTTAATCAAAGACAAAAAAATGTCATGTCTGGGAAATATTTTCGAGTTGCGGAAGTGGATGTATTCACATAGAGATAATAACGAGAGAGTGACGAAAGAATTTCTCGAAGGGTTGGAGACGTTTATGCATCAAGCAGATTCTACACCACTCACGCAAGAAAGTGGTAAGATGTTCTGTCCTTGTCGGATATGCTGCAGTACAAAATTAGGCCCTTGTTAAAATGTTTGGAAGCATTTAATAAATATAGGTTTCATGCCATATTATTATATTTGGTATCAACATGGAGAAGATGCTAGTTGTAGGCATGAAGGTAGCAGTAGAAATAGCAATTTTCAGGTTGAACCGGTTGATCATTTGCATAATGAAAATAGCTATCATCACCAAGAGGAACAAATAGTAGATTGTGATAGGGTTCATGATATAGTAGGTGATGCATTTGTAACTCATGATGATGATGAAGTTGAAGAACCTAACTTAGATGCAAAAACAGTTTTATGAAATGTTAGAAGCTGCGAATGAGCCAATTTACAGTGGTTGTAGAGAAGGTCTGTCTAAATTGTCGTTGGTTGCTAGAATGATGAGTATTAAAACCGATCACAATCTACCTGAAAATTGTATGGATGCATGGGCACACTTGTTTAAAGAATATTTGCTAGAAGACAATGTGTTTGCTGAATATTTTTATCAGATTTAGAAATTGGTATATAGTCTTGGGTTGTCCTCGGAGATGATAGACGTTTGCATCGACAACTACATGATTTACTGGGGAGATGATGAGAAGTTAGAAGAATGTCGATTTTGTAAGAAGCCACGATTCAAACCGCAAGGTCGATGGCGTAATAGGGTACCTGATATAGTGTGTTTTTGACATAGAATAAGTACTTTCTACTAATGGTTTTTATAGTTTTATCGAGTCTTTCTAGTTGTTTTGAGTCATTACAGGTTGAAGAGTTCTATAGATGAGGAAAATGATCGTCTGGGAAGAAAAGAGAAGAAAAGCACCTAATTTGAAGGTTTTCTTGACGTGAACAGCCGGGAAAGATGTTCTTGTGAGGTCAGAGCAGCTTGACAGACTGTTCCCCAACGTTCTAGGAAATAAAGATTCTATTTCGGGATTTGCTCTAGTTTTCCCTACTTTTCTCTTCTGCCGCCTGTGGCTTATTATATATTTCCCTTTAGGTTTTCCTAGGCTTTTTACCTGATTTTTACGCAAGAAAGACTTGAGAGCTTGATTTTGAGCGATTGCTACTTGTAAGGGAGAAGGCTTCATCTATCTCCTTGAGAAGATCATCCTGAACCCTCTGATTTCTTTTTTGTTTTACATGCAATATTATTCAGAAATCATGCTCTGTTCTTGTGTTATGTCTGAGTAGTCACCAAGTTAGTTTAGGGTTCTAGGGTTGGTTTCGTGAGCTGAGCTTAGATAAGTACCCTAAGATTGTCTACATTCATATTCTTAACTTAATGCTTGCACCAATTTGATCACTTGTTGCATGAACTAGGATTGATTGATTTAGCTAACCGTTAATTGATAATCCGACACGAATTGAATGAGCTTAACATCCCTAGTCAGCGAGAGTAGATACTAGGGTGTTTTGTGAACTTATCGGACTTGATCTCTAAAGCTTGCTGTCTTGCCTTGATCCAAACGACAGTTTAGGTATCACGACAGATCTGCAAAGGAAATCAACACCACGACAGTGGGTTGATTCAAACAGAGTGATCCGAGTTTAGACTAGCACATATCGAACTTGAATAGCAGCTCGGCTTGTAATTTGCATACCCGTTTAGAAACCCTATACTAGCGTCTTAAACTTATTGAAAACAACTCGTTTGTTACTTTCCTTTTAAGTTATTTCTTTTACTTAAAAAACCCCTCTTTGTTTTAGCTATATTCTGATCCTATAAAGATAAAGTGTAGACTGGTCCTCTGGAATTGAATCTAAACATATTACAACCACACTGTTAACTTGACAGTAGACAAAGATCCAATTTTAGTGTATCAGTATCATACCAAAGGATGTGGTACCTACCAATCACATACAGATTGAAAATATTGTACCAATCTGAGGAGACTGTTGGAGGGATGAGATGGCACGCCGAGCATACTGAGACGGATGGAGAGATGACTCATCCATCAGATGCCAGAGCCTGGAAACAATTTAACAATGTACATCCACATTTCGCTAGCAATAGCCGGAATGTGTATCTTGGATTATGCACTAGTGGATTTGATCCATTTGGAATGCCAGGGAGACAATATTCATTGTGGCCGGTCTTTCTTACCGTACAACCTGCCACCAGGGATGTGCATGCGACGAGAGTTTCTATTCTTGACCATATTAATACCTGGTCCAAAGCATCCAAAAAGATCTCTCGACGTTTTTCTACAACCACTGATAAAAGAGTTGAAAGATTTGTGGTCAACAGGGGTGAGGACATATGATTGTTCAACGAAAACAAATTTTACAATGCAAGCGATTCTTTTGTGGACCATAAGTGACTTTCCTGCATATGGGATGTTGTCTGGGTGGACTACACATGGGAGATTAGCTTGTCCATATTGTAATGGAATGACAGATGCGTTTCAGTTAAAGCATGGTAGGAAAACTAGTTGGTTCGATTGTCACCGTCGATTTCTTCCCGTTTACCACCCATATCGAAGAAACAAGACATTGTCCAGGCACAAAAAGGGTTGTCAGAGACACTCCTCCTCCATATTTAACTGGAGAACAAATCGAAGCGCAAATCGATTACTACGGTGCTCTAGAAATAGCTCCTCGTGGTGGGAATTGGCATGTTCCCAGTAATATACCTAATTCTTATGGTGTTCAGCACAATTGGCACAAAAGAGTATATTTTGGGAATTGCCATATTGGAAAGATCTTCTTTTGCGCCACAACCTCGATGTGATGCATATAGAGAAGACCTTTTTTTAGAACATAGTGAACACTATATTGAATGTCCCAGGGAAGACGAAAGACAACGTAAAATCGAGGTTGGACTTATCTGATATCTACTCAAGGAGTGAGCTACATATAAAAAGCAATGGGCAAGTTCCAATTCCGATATTCAGCCTGTCATTAGAAAAAAGTCTGCGTTGTTCAATTGGGTGGCTTCAGAAGTGAAGTTCTCTGATGGGTATGTTTTAAATCTCTCAAGATGTGTTGAGAAAGGGCAAAAGTTCTCCGGGATGAAGAGCCATGATTGTCATGTCTTTATGCAGCGACTACTTCCCTTTGCATTTGCGGAGCTACTGCCGGCAAACGTACATGAAGCACTTTCAGGTAATTAATATAATACGGCGCAAAGATTAATTTATTTATTTATATATATATATATACTAATGTGTATAATTTTTGTTTTTGTAATATATAAGGAATTGGAGAATTTTTTAGGGATCTGAGCACCTGCACTCTTAAAGAGGAAGTTTTCCAACAACTTCATGAAAACATCCCGTCTTAATCTGCAACTTGGAGATAATATTTCCGCCTACTTTTTGACGCTGGAACACCTAGTTGTCCACCTCCCATATGAGGCATTACTTCGTGGACCTGTGCATTATGGATGGATGTATCAGTATGAAAGGGCCATGAAAACTTTGAAAGGAAAAGCCAAAAATCTAGCAAGATTTGAAGGTTCTATTGTTGCGGGAAGTTTGACGGAAGAAACATCACATTTCACATCGTACTACTTTGCACCGAAAGTACGTACAAGGAAACGAGCTCCAAGAAGATACGATGATGGTGGTGTCGTGCCGACATATATGGAAGATGATGTTCCAGACATCTTTTATCAAATTGGGCGATTGGGTGGGAAATTGAAAGAGGTTTGGTGGTCGAGTGATGAAGATA